AATAGACAAAGAATTTATATCTAAGTTAATAGAAACCAAAAAACTTTACTGTTGGCGAAAAAAAAGCTTAAACAAAAGTATTGAACGTCGAATAAAAAATACAGAAGAAAATTATTTTTTTAAAGAATCTTCATGTGAGTCTCTAAGAAAATTAATAGTAGAATGCAATATGTTTATAAAAGAAGTGGTAAAGTATTTTATGTCTTTTAATTTTACTGTTTACCTTACAAAGGAAAATTTAAAATTTATTTATAATGAATGTGAAGATATCATACAAAAATTTACAAATATTTCACAAGCTGTACAAATGGAATCTATTTTTGCAATTATAAAAATGCTAATTGGGAGATTAGAACGATCTTGGGATTTTTTAGGTAAGATAAATCGTAATTTAATTATGTTTTTTAATTCTGTGACACGTTTGTCTACAGATATTAAATGGTTAATTTCCCCTTTAAAAAACATTATGGATAGTATTGATAAAGAATATGATCGAGCAGAATCTAATCAATAAATTTAAAAAAGTATTAATTGATTATCCTTTTTATAATTTAATAGAACCTACATTTGTACTTTTTTAACTAATAAAAAAATGAACATTACAGCTTTACTGTTAAAATGAATAATGAAAGTTTAGAAAGACAAATTAATCAATGTAGGACAAAGCTTATTTGAGAACTTAAACAGTAAATATGCTAAAAAATATATTGCAGTATGCTAATATATATTATTTATACAAAAAAATTCTTTGCACTGTAAAATTTTTTAATAATGCAAAAATTAATCTATTTAGGCTAAAGTTATTAGAACTAAACATTTATTTGCGGATGGAAGATAATATGTTCTGCACTGTTTTTGATGTACCTTCCAAAAAAAATTCTTCCCTTAACTTTAATTTACAAACAGAATAATAATAAAAAACTCTCAAATTTAAATTAAAGGAGCTAAGTTGAAAAAAATAAATGGTACCTATAAATATACAGTGGTCGTTAAAACGTTAAGACTGGCAATAAAATTTACTTTTGCCAATACAATAAACATCAAATAAAAATATAAACGAATAAATAAAGACCAAATAAAACGTTACATAATTGCATTTATTTGGATTTTTTCGATCAACATATAAACTTGTCCTTTTCCAAGTCTTTCATATTTTTTAGGTGGGTAAAATTTATTTATTAAATAAAATATTTTATAAGATAATTTCAGGAGTGTAATCATCAACCTGCAACAAACATAATTATACATTAATTATGATTTTTTGATTTTATATTACTATAGAGGGTTTATAAAAATTGATTTGGCTTTAAATTAAACGTAAAAATTCTATACTTAGAATTATAAATAGAAAGATATTCTAGAATTAGTGTAATTTGCATATATTAATTTTTTAGTACGATATCTTGAAATATTAATGTCTGTAAACTGTATACATTGAGTATGTTTTTAAAGTTTTTTTTAAAATAATTTTTTTTAGCTTTTATGAGCAAACGAAAAATTTTAACTTGCTATGACAAAGGTCTAATAGATGCTTATTATATACCAGGTATAAGTTATGTTCAAATTAGTGCTTTATAAGGAAAAAGTAAGACCGCAATCAGAAATTACATCACACCAAAAGAAAAATCTAAATCTACTGAAAAAAACAGGTAGAAAACTGGCACTTTTTTAAAAATCT